TCATACATTTTTTTAACCTAAATTTTTTTATCAAACTCAATTTTCTGCATCATTTAAGTCCACCCCTTTCTTACAGTCAACCTCAAGCTCGCATTCAGATCTGCCTTCATCTAATCATCAACGATGGATAGAACCATTTCCATGCCCTACTGTACATTTTTTTTAAATAATACATTTCACTCAGATGTTCATTAAAATATGGAAGAAAGATCTGTCGCTACTTCTGTTTCAACTTTAATATTGCAATGCATATTTATATTGCAATAATACATTGCACTGTATTAGTTTTTATTTTTGATATATAAGTTTAATTATTTATGTATATATATATATATATATATATAATGTTATCTTGTGCAGTCAATGTGGATTGCTGAATTTGGTTATGTAACTTTTACAGTAAATATAAAGTAATGAAACTGCAAAAGCAAAAAATTTTTTTTACCTAGTATGTCGACATGTTGTGATATTAGAACCATGAGAAAACAATGGAGATCCAAAACTAACAGAGATCCCTGATCCAGAACTGGTAGGCTACTATTCCCGTTCCGTGACAGCATCTCGGAGCTGAGTTTGCTGGGAAAGACACATGAGACGTTCCTGTTTCTCTCACAGTTTTTCTCTCTTTCTTTGAGGTAATGTTTGCAGCAAGGTGATATATACTGAAAGACGCATTTCATTGCATTTCTTGTTTGACTGGACTTCTCACCCTCTCAGCTTAGAGTCTCTAGAGAGGCCCAGTGTGGGTGTTGGACAGAAAGTGATCGTCTCACAGTAGCCTGTCAGCTTCCTTTTGGGTTCCACATTCAGAAACTCTTTGAGTGCTCATATCACATTTAATTCTACTCGCATTGTTTCTATCCCGACATACTTCCTCTGAAAGCCGATGGAAGTGAGAAGCAGCGTGTCTGCTTCTGTTCAAGCGAGACATCCAACAGTAATCCGAGTGTCCCAGGCACATATCAGATCTTTCACAGTATGCATTTACTCTTGCAATTCTGTAATTACCAATTAGATTAAAAGGGTAGCATAACTTGGTTGTGAAAACAGTTGTCAGTGTTGTGTGATTACGTTCTGAACTGAACGCAAATATATTTTACATTTAGCCCTATCATTATCTAGAGAGATGCAGACACTGTCTGATAAATTATGCAAAATTTTTACCTTTAAAATGGACTGCATTTATATAGCGCTTTCACAGACCCAATGGCCACCAAAGCGCTTTACATTTTGCCTCACATTCACCCATTCACTCACTCATTCATACACCGACGGCGGTGTCAGCCATACAAGGCGCCATCCAGCTCGTTGGGAGCAGCTGGGGTTAGGTGCCTTGCTCATGGACACCTCGACACTTGGTCAGGTGGAACCGGGGATTGAACCACCAACTTTCTGGTTTGTAGACAACCTGCATGAACCACTGAGCCACTGCCGTTTAGAGCATGGCTGGGCAACTCGGGCCCTCGAAAACCATTTAGTTCCAACCCTGATCAAACTCATATACCTGTACATTTTTAGTAATCCTGGACTGGAACTGGAGCTTGTCACAAATGAACCAAAACTCAGCGTATAGGCTACCTGCCTCACAGACATGAGAAATAGGCATATAGAAAGCTTGAAATGTCTAACTTTTAAATGAACCAATTTGAATCGAAAACAAATACTCTCTGATTATGTAATCCAAATGAAAGGTGCATTTCTCTCTATAGGCTCCCTATACTGCAAGGATACGAGTCAGCAACGTCAACTTCATCTTTTCAGCCAACACTGACTCAGAAAACACTAGTTTATTAATAAACAATTATAATGTGTCCTTGCTATTTTTTCCTGACACATTCATAATCATTAGGCTACTTTTGCCAGTGCTTTGCGGCAAGCTTTATGCAAGCTTAATTTTTTTTTAACTATACCCAGCCTTAGTTGTACCCCCTAAAGATACAATTTCTGTCAATTTTGAGTGTATAAGCAGCATGAATATTATTTATTTATTTAATCAAATATTTTAAAATGTTTTATTTTATTAAATAATATATATTTTTTTATTATTTTAAAATAAAATGAAATGTACTTATTTATTAATTATTTTCATTCTAGTGACCTATTTTTAAAGTCTTGCGACCTATCCAAGGGACCCAGAATTTGAAATCTGTACACTGCATTAGAAATTTATATTTATATTATGATATATTTATGTATCTATTTGTCGCTCTTGAATGGGTATTTATATAGGCCTACTAACTTTTATTTTGTGTAATTTTTCAGTTAGGGCTGCAACTGATTTGCTTCACCATTAAAAATAGACTGAAGAATAATTGATCAGACGGGGATCTGTGGCATGTCATTCGTAGCCTTACAAGTGTCTTTTTAAGATTTTTTTGAAGACTTTAGTTTCCCTTGCCTTTATATCATGGAAAGAAAGTTTTAGCAAGTGGCGGTTTATCTTTTATCTGTAACTTGTGTCTCATGCCTCAAAAGTTTGTGTGTGTGTGTATTTCTCATGGAGGCCCGTACTGTTCTTTGTCATTTAGATAAACCACTTCCTGACAACTGGAAACAAAAATCTATTTATAGCTTTGCGTGTCCTAATTTCACTCATTTTGTTCTTCAAAACTTTTTTGCTACATGGTTTTATTTATTCCCCCCCCCCCTCACCGTGTCACTTCCTGCCACATCCTGTACGTATTAGGTGAGGTTTGTTAGTAAGTTCAGCAATGTCACATGAATGAAAAGTGACCTGCACATCATCAGCAGTCTTTTTTGTTTTCTTTGCTAATCTAAACATGTTGTTAAAAACTTTTTATGATAAGTACAGTGGACTCCAAAAGTAGGACACTACTATTTGAAATGCTCCTATTTTGAATCCTTTGTTATTTTAATACAATTTGTCATTACACATGGCCAACTTAACAATTTTTCTGAAAAGTAAACACATTTCAGAACGTTTAATGACAGCCGCACTCGAACTGCATGAACTTTTGAGTCCAATTTGATGACCATGTTCTCCATATAGCATATTGAGCTTGGAATGGAAGCAAGAATATGTCTGTACAAATACTCACCTGATCTATGTCACTAATTTACTCAACATACAAATATTTCTTATTCATTTACAGTATAACATAACATAACATAACAGTTTTAATTTTTCCACAATCTTTTTCATGTTTTAATCAAACAAAACCCCACATTTTCAAAGTTTGGACCCTACTGTTTGACTCAACAGTATTTGTAATTGTTAGACATTACTTGTTGTCACAGTGTTCCTGTGATGTCACCCATCAGCACAAGTGAGTTCTATGCAAAAAAACCACACATGGAAATGAGGGTGGACAGGGACATTTGGCACACAAATATGATTATGCAATCCGATGGGGGAACACATGCAAGGAAGGCATAATGCAAATACTAAGAGAATACCTTCTTTTGTTTAATTTTGTTTAGCAGCATTTTGCATTTTGTATTGAGAAGGGTTCAATTTGCTTCGTCACCTTACATATAAAGATGTACTCATCCTACTTAAGTGGGTTAAAAGCACTCCTAAAATTGCATTTAATGTTGACTATAATACATTTCATGTAATTGTAAATAACATGCAATTAAAGGGATAGTTCACCCAAAAATTAAGATACTGTCATAATTTACTGACCCTCAAGTTGTTCCAAACCTGTATGAGTTTCTTTCTTTTGTTAAACACAAAAGACGATATTGTGTTGGTAACCTAACAGTTGATGGGCCCCATTGACTTCCATAGTATTTTCCCCCAATATGGAAGTCAATGGGGTCCATCAAATGTTTGGTTACTGACATTCTTCAAAATATCTTCTTGTGTCTTCTTTGTGTTCAACAGAGGAAAGAAACTCATACAGGTTTGGAACAACTTGAGGGTGAATAAATGATGACAGAATCTTAATTTTTGTATTATCTAAAAATTGCATGTTATTTACAATTACATGAAATGTATTATAGTCAACATTAAATACAATTTTAAGAGTGCTTTTAACCCACTTAAGTAGGATGAGTACATCTTTTTATGTAAGGTGACGAAGCAAATTGAACCCTTCTCAATATAATACATTTTTTGGGTGAACTATCCCTTTAAGTGTAAGAAAACATTAAATTCATTTTGCACTTTAGTAATTTCCTTTAAGTATATTATTTCCATAGTAAGTACTCTTTAAAAATAAAATAAAAGTGTACTTCTTTTTTCACAAGGGAATGATTGCTCTGTCCAATTTACAAATAACTTTACAAATTACAATATTTCAACAAATTAAAAAATTTAAATTTAGGCCCATTCAGTACACATAACCTTGATGCAATAGTTAGTAGAATAAAGATTCTTTATAAAAATAAGTCATTTTTTGAAATGATATTTTAATTATTTGCTTTGTCTTTAGTAGAGTAACAATATAAAACATTTTTTTTTTGCATAATATCATACTTTTCTCATATAGTATACATTGGTCTTTATACAAGCAAATATATAGCTGCCTTTATATTTTAGGAACAATATCATATATTTAAATATTATTTTTCTGTTTAATCTGTCTGTCTCTTGGAAAATATTCTTGAGCTGTTTCATCCAATCAGGGCTCTTTCCCAGTAATAGTTTGTTAAAACAGGATTTATTCGTCTTCCTTCACACGTCTTCTCTTAAATAAGAGCCAGGATGTGATCCAACCGAATACCAGCACCATTTGCCATATCAACAGTCTGCAACCTAATAAGTGTGTCAAGACCAGTGAAAGCACACCACTGTAAACAGAGCCCTACAGATGCCCAGACATGCACATGCTCACACGTACAGACAGTTCGATAAAAACTTGATGAGTAATAATATTATTTACCAATCAACAGTAGACAGTCTTGTTTACATAGGCATGAAAATTGCCATGTCTGTCTGGGTGTGCAATAAACTTGGAATGAGCTGTGTAGAAAAGCAGAAGTTTAATGCTGAGTTTAATTATGTACAAAGGTTAATTGTGTATCTTTTCCTGCAGACCCGTGTTTGACAGTCATGCCTCCATGTATGAACGAAGCCGACCGCTTCAGTTTAGAGGCGCTTCGGCACATTCACAAGCAGCTAGACGACGACAACGATGGAGGAATTGAAGTGAATGAGAGTGTGGAGGTGAGCATATGTCATTTAGACCTGGGAAATTGTGTTGTGCCTGTCATTTAATACAATAATGCATTTGTTGGAGTGGGGAGGGGGCATGTTTCTATATGTGTGCATGCATTTTGCGAGGGGGTCGAGGGGGCTTAAAAACAGGTTAGTAAAGCTTAAACCTACCAGGGACCTCAAAGGGCAAAGTTGACACTGATTCTTTCTTGCCTGCAAGAAGAGACCATTGACATACGAGTACTTCTCCCATAGGGCTACTATATTACTGTGTGTGTGTTGGTTTTCATGATGAAAAATCCTTGCATAATTTGCTTCATGAGATGTTAAAGCTTTATGTCACATGCATATGTCACATGCATATGCATGTCTTCCTAACCGTGATCGAAATATGCAACACATTCTGTACCAGTTAAATATAATCTTGACTTTGACATGATGTACCGTACATGCTAATTGCCATTTTGTTTCACAGAAACAGTGTGTTTAGATGGATTATGTTCTATCTAAATACAAATATTTTCCAATAAAAGGAATCCACAATCATGAATATTTATGTGGAATTATAAGACTTCATGGACGTTTTAATTGACCATGTTATCATGAACTAACAATGAACATTTCACAGCATTTATTAATCTAAGGTAATGTTAATTTATGTATACTATTATTCATTGTTAATGCATGTTTGTTCATTATACGTTAAATGATTGAAACTGTAAATGTTAAAAACGTATTAGTAAGTTTAAAATTTTACTTCAACATAGATTAATACATGCTGATAAAGTACTGGTTATTAATGTTAGCTACTAATATTATTGAATTGAACATTAAACCTTTTTGAATAGTTCAAATATCCCCAGCCATTGTTAGAAGTTATGAGGTGTGTGTGTGTGTGTGAGAGAGAGTGTGTGTGTGTGTGTGTGTGTGTGTGTGTGTGTGTGTGTGCTTCAGGCATACCTTACGTTACCCCCTAAAGATGGCAATATCTGAAATCCTTGTCCTTGTGGGGACATTTTTTGGTCCCCATGAGGAGAACAGCTCATAAATCATACTAAGTGATATTTGTTGAAAATGTAAAAATGCAGAAAGTTTTCTGTGATGGGTAGGTTTAGGGAATAGAATATACAGTTTGTACAGTATAAAAATCATTATGTCTATGGAATAACAGACTCTACTCAAAAGTGTGAATCCCACAATGTACCTCTTTATTATTATTATTATTTTTTTTTTTTTACATTTTATTGCAACTGGAAGTAAACATGACAGGTTATAAATTGCTATTTGTCTTTTAAAATAATAGTAACACCCTAATGCTTCACAAGAGGTAGTAAACTAGTGTCTTCTAGTTTTACCACACTAAAATGTACAGACTTCACCAGTGACCCTCACCATTGCCGTCAGGTTTGATCACAACCACAAGATTAAAAGTGAAAATAAATGTTTTTTCCTCTATTTACTTTCCTGCTTTTTTGTCTGTTCAGCTGTCTTTGATTTTAAGTGAGAATTTTTGTATATATATGTGAGGTAAGTGAGGATGTGACATGTGTTTTGAGTATTGTTTCTGGTCATGGCAGGTGCTTCTGGGCCCAATAACTTTTTCAAGAAGAGGCCCAAGAATTTCTCCTTACAGAGACTGAAAGTTGGTGTCCTCTTTCAGGACACAGCAGATTCCTGTGTTTGTGTGTGTGTAAGAGAGAGAGAGTGAGTGTGTGTGTGAGAGAGAGAGAGTTGCTAAATAAGCCTACAGAACTTTAAAGATGTCTTTCCTCTCGTTTATATATATGTCAGTGCAAGTTGCTTTCAGTTTTGACAGCTCAAACATGCATTTTAGTCTGGGACTAGGCTTAAGCCTTGTCTGTGAAACCGGGCGTATAAGTCTCTTGTTATGCTATAATATCACCACCATATATTGGATTCAATCTTTTTGTCAACGTGTTATCTTTCACACAGAGATGAACTTTATTCTCATGTCAATGAGGCTTAGATCAATCAGTTTCAAAATGAAATACAAAAACTGTCCTAATTAAAAGAAAACAAGTTGACATAAAGATTGAATCCAATATTGGGTGATAATATAGCATAACGAGATTTATAAGCAATTTTTTTTGTAGGCTGGTCATTTTTGACCAGGAAACCAAAGATGTTACAGTGTTTTCAAGACAGCTTAAAGGGATAGTTCACTTCAAAATGATATTCTGTCATCATATACTCACCCTACTGAGTAGCTTTCACAGACCCAATGGCCAGTAGGGTGATATTCTGTCATCATATACTACTGACGACGTGTCCCTCGGATCACCCATCAAGGGAGGATGCCCACCTGAAAACTCCACTGTGACAACTACACTGCCAAGGTCAAGTACATTCTCCTGGTACGCGCTTGCACTTAAAGGATGTATTACATCTCGTCCTGTGTTTCTTGAAAACAGCAGAAGAAAGAAATTCATACAGGTTTGAAACAACTTGAGGGTGAGTATATGATGACATAATTTTCATTTCGAAGTGAACTATCCCTTTATGCGATAAGGACATTTTCCATCATGTTTGTGCAGCACACAAATAAGCAGAACCACAGAGAGATACACAGTTTACACAGATCTCACCACAGAGAGCTTCACACTTATCTAGTTTTCTTTATTCTAATACTTTATTGTGCAATAAAACTCTGCCCTAGTTATGTATTCTTCTGGTCATCAGCACTGCACTCACTTGGGTTTTTCCTTATTTGTAAGTCGCTTTGGTTAAAAGCATCTGAAAAGTGAATTACTATTGTCATGGAACTCAATGGATATGATATTCATTTGATGTTTCTCTTGTGTCTTTTTTTGCATTGAAAATATTTGCATGATATTAAAATATTTTTTTTTAAACGTTTAAAGCCTCAGATAGAGTCGCTTGCACCCTGAAGCCAAATAAAACACGACATGAAATGAACTAATTCATAAGAAGTCATTTTCCTATGGTCTGAGCATGTAATCTTGTTGTTCTTCTGCAGTTTATAATAGAGGACATGAAGCAGCACCAGACCAATAAACACAGTAATCTTCACCGAGAGGACCAGCACATCACAGTGGAGGAGCTGTGGAAGAGCTGGAAAATATCAGAAGGTAAAAAGAGATGGATAGAGAAAACATGGGCTGGGTGGCAGATACAGCTTTGAGTGACAGAAAAAAAGTGTGTTCACTGGTAGAGATTTTAATTTACTGTTTTTTCTGTAATATCATTGGGCAGGGCATGTGAGAGCAATGACATGGAATAATATGAAAATACTGAGCAAGTTGTGTGTCCCAAACTAATCAAGATGAGAAAGGACTTGGTTTAATGTATTAATGTCCCAACTTTGCCACATCAATATGGAATTCAGTTGATGTTAAAGTTAATAAAACTTTAACAATTATAATAACGAAATGGATTATCCAGAAATCAGTTTCATGTCAAATTCATGTAATAAAATATATATTTTTAATTTATAGCAAAAACAACGGTAACACTTTACAGTAAGGTTTAATTTGTTAGCATAAGTTAACTTTAGTTATCATGAGCTAACAATGAAAAAAAAACAATGAGCATAACAATTTTTTGTTATGCTGGTTGAAAGTCTTCTCATATCCTGATAGCAATCACTCTGTTAAGCGGTCTAAATGTATTTTTATAAATATACGTTGTCTGTGGAAGGCGTAGGACCATAGAATGTTCGTTCAATCGTTGTGTTCGGTCCGAACGGTCCTATAGCATGTGTTCCCTGTCGATCAATGTGTGTTTGCATACCACTGCGCTGGCTGTTCACACATATTGAGTCATCAGCGCGTTCACGTACGCTGTGCAGACAGAGCGAGAATGGCAGGCAAGCAGCAACAACAACCAGACTCTCATCGTGGAACCCCTGGCATGGAACACTGACAAGTTTTGCTAGCTAAACAAACCGAAAACTTGCTGCATCTAATTCCGATTTTAAGAATTCGTTTACGTTTAGTATTGTAGTACTGTTACTAACTCTATACTATAAAGTTTTCTCACTGGTGAATGACACATGTATTGGAGTAACGTTGTTCCCGGTTTTCTGGGCTGTGTTCATGCTTTCAGGAGGCGTGGCTTTGGATGGCGATTTGCAGGGAGGGTGGGACGTACGCTTTTAGTGCTATCAGGCTAAAGTTTGCATCTACCCAGATGTCCTACTGCACCTTTAATGTTAATCTCAACATTTACTAATACATTTTCAGGATCAAAAGTTGTATTAGTGTCAGGTTTATGTTCTGTTTGTGTTTTAGTTTGGTTTTGTTCTGTTCCTGTTTGCCTGTGTTTCCATTCTCAAGGTCCTTCGTATGCGTTTTCTTTGTATTCGTCATTCGCTGGCTCTGATTTGTCAAAATACCTCTCAACACAATCCAATTTTTTTTATGATGGATGTAAATTTCGCTGGCAGTGCCAGTGTGTAAATGTGATTGGCACAACGTGAGGTCGTATTTATTTTTTAACGTGCAAGAATTTCAGACTCAGTGTGCAAGGACCTTTAGGCTATGTTCAGACGGTAAGTCCAAATTCGATTTCTGTGCATATCGAATTGAAATCTGATCAGATTTAGCAAGTGTGATTGGCCAAATATCACATTCAACACAAAAAAATCCCGTCACATAATTCCGTTTCGAGCTATTTTCATGTGTGGTTTGAAATCCTATTCAAATCGCATTTCTGGAAATCTGTTTCAGTCTGAATGCTCTGATCGTATTTCGCGTGGTTTATGTGACTTTCTCACGCCCCGTAAAACATAAACTTCAGACGTTGCGATAGGAAAATATGCTGAAAGTCACTGCAGAAACAAGGTTGTGTTGTTGCAAAGTGCCGGACGAGCAGAGAATGACAATATACGGAGACATGTTTTGAATCCGGCGGTTTTAAAGCCGGTCATACCAGCCTCCTACATTTCTACCGCTGCCTCATAAGATGCAGTAGTCCAGCACGGCAACACATTGTCATGTTGTAAATAAGACAACATCTGTATTGCAAACCCCTCCATGTTGCAGTTGTTGTTGTTCCCTTTCGAGGGAACTCGAACTGCGTCGACTACGACACTTTGGGAAATGCCCTTAAACGCATAACGCATCTGAAGTATGAATGAAACTAATCCAATCCTGATTGGTGCTGCGTCATGACGTAACATGTGACGGCATACACGGAAGCTACAAAGGATTGCCGGCACACAACAGAGTTAGCTTTTTGCTCTTCAGCAAGCACTCTGTGTCAAACTGTCCTATTTGGTGTTGTTTGTCCCACAAGAATTATCCCAAATAAAGGTCCGCATTGCAATACAGAATCTATAGTGGCTCGGATCTTGTATTTGTCGAGTCAGTGTGTAGATTACGGGTCTACTCTGCAATAAAGATTCTGTGGCTCGGATCTCGCGTTGACGAGGCAGAGCGTGGATTAAAGGTCTGCATTGCAATACAGAATCTATAGTGGCTCGGATCTCGCGTTTGTCGAGGCAGCGCGTAGATTACGGGTCTACTCTGCAGTAAAAATTGTGTGTGGGTGCGAGGCATGCACAGTCAGCTCCTGAGTGTGCTGGCTGTGTTCATTGAGACATATTTTGACGCACACAGCCATGCGTTTTCGGGTGTTTCAGCCTCGTGCCCGTTGACTTTCTTCTCGAGAGATGAAAGCCAAATATATTGTGAACGACTCGAATCTTGTGTTTGCCGAGGCAGCGCCTTTTATTTAACTTTAAGACGTTAGATATTTTAATTCAGCCTACCATTCAGACCGTGTTTCACTTATCCAGTGTTTATGGCTGCATTTAATTCTGAGAAATTAAAATGATGAGCAGCGAACTCACGCTGCTCTGTCTGCACCACAGGCTTGCGGCCATGCAGTGTCCCGTCCGCGAAACACAATCGTTTTCGATTTTTCCCTGCCGGTCCTCGGCTTCAGGGTATCGAAAACAAGACGGAAATAGCAGGGCTGTCCCACCAGTGGAGGGACGAGTGAGAATCACTCCTCCACGGAGCCCTCAGGAAATTCGATTGTTGTTTGTATCCAGCATCAAGTGCGCTTCGGGACACATCGTTTTTCAGCGAATGCACGCTGCAGTGTCCGTCCCAAAGGCTTGCAAACAGGCAGTCTTCACGTCCGCACATCGCCCAAGAAGGGGCTTCACGCATCCATACAGACCATCAGTAAGTGGGTCGTTCAGGCTATCTCTCAGGGCTCATTCAACCAGAGGCATGGAATCCTCTAGAGCCGTTCCAAGAAGTGTGCGATGCAGCAGGATGGGCCACCCCTCATACTTTTATCAGATTCTACGCCAGGTACTCTAGTGCTCTCGTCCTAAGTGTGCCTGTGCACAGCTTGGGACAGGCAGGGCTCGTTGTGGCATAGTGGGTACTCGTTCCTCAAAGTGTCATAGTTGACGCAGTTCGAGTTCCCTCAAAATGGAACGTCTCGGGTTACGACTGTAACCCTTGTTTCCTGAGAACGAGACACTGCGTCCCTCCGCCACGCCTTCCCCTGCCCCTGCCTGGGAGCGACTTGCTTCATCGCAGAAGCTAACTTTGCTGTGTGCCGGCGTCCCTTTGTAGCTTCCTTGTATGCTGTCACATGTTACGTCATGACGCAGCATCAATCAGGATTGGATTAGTTTCATTCATACCTGGGAGCGACTTGCTTCATTGCAGAAGCTAACTCTGTTTTGTGCCGGTGTCCCTTTTTAGCTTCCATGTATGCCTTCACATGTTACGTCATGACGCAGCATCAATCAGGATTGGATTAGTTTCATTCATACTTCAGATGCGTTACGCTAAGGGCGTGCCCCAAAGTGTCGCAGAGTCTCGTTCCCTTCTCAGGGAACAAGGGTTACAGTCGTAACCCGAGACGTTTTTGGCATATGCCTACCAACGCAACGTCATTGCCATGTAGACCAATGCAGATATAAAACAAAAGAGAGGCATGAACACACAAATCGGATCTGGACAGATGCGATACACAATGTGGACAGTCAATAATTTTAGATCAGATTCCAATCGGATACACAAATAATCGGATTTGGACTGACAGTGTGAACTTAGTTACAGATCATGCCCGATTTCCATTACACGAGAGTAGATGTTAAAACTTCATGCTGATTTGTACTCGGCTTTCGCCAAGATAAGCACAAACTAAGACGTAGCTTTACAGTAACCTATGCTTCTCCATCCATTTACGCTTCCTTCCATATGGTGATGTGAATCTCCTTCTGTCCGGCGTTAATGGCTGCTGTGTACTTGTACTACACTACAGTGTGGTCTCCCCAGTGGACCAGCTCGACAACTGTCTGGATTGAGCCGAGTAGGGGACATCTCTAGGGTCTTCAAGTGGGCACCTTCCGTCCTCACTGTTTCGTCGACTAGCCCACGACACCTCAAGAGGGCTCGACAGTGACTCCGGCGTCCCAGAGTCACCCCCCTCCGTCCCCCACTCAACTCAGCCCAGCTTACTGACCTTTACATCCCTCCTGCTTTTTCAAGAATCCGTAGCGTGGCGGCCTGTACACAGCCACCCAGAACATTTCCGTCTCAACCACAGCCAGTTGCTGCTCCTCTCTGCTGCTTCAGATAAGTTCTTTACTGTACGACGCAACTCTTGGCCACTGAATCCGACGTCTCTGAGGAACCGGGTTGTAGAGTGTGCCACAAATCCTCGACAACCCACTTCCACTGGATAAACCTGGACTCTCCATCCTCGCTGTTCTGCTTCAGAGGCCAAATGAGCATACCGCAGTTTCTTCCTCTCATATGCCTCAGTTAACTCTATCAGTTGAACAATGCGTGCTGATCCAGACCACAAAACAATATCTGGTCGGAGGTTATCCTAGTTTGTTTTCATAGTTACTTATTATTTTTCGTGGTTTATACCTGTTTCATTTAGCTCCCTTTGCTTGCCCTGTGTATTTAAACCCTGAGTTTTACCATTTACCATTTAACACATTGCAAGGGTTCCGCCAGTAGTGTGCACTCGTGCAATGTAAGCAATGAAGTACATCCAAGTGAATGAGTTGGAGGGAAGTTACTGAGAGAAGGGCATAAAATAATGGACTTAAACGCAGCCTTGGTCAGTTCTCGTTAAAGGTGCATTGGGCAACTTTTCATGTTAAAAATACCTGTTTTTCTATCCTATACATCCTTAAAGAACTGCCTGGTGGGCTGAATGAGCCCTTCTCTGCGCACTGAGATTGCCTCTATAATCCTGTACAGTAAAATATATAAGAGGGATTCGGGCTCGAATTTGAGACTGGGCGTGACGTCATGCGCGTTCACGCTCACCAGGCTATGTCTCGCAGGTTTGTGTATTCGCCGGCGCCGCCATTCTCCGCATCAGCGAAGACAACTCGTGCGTCAAAGGTAGAAGATGGATTCAAATAGACCGGCTTGTAGTCCATTCCAAACCCCAACGCAAACTCCACGTAAAGTAAAGAAAAGAAAAATTTTGTCTAGTGCCACCAAAAGGTCCAAATTGGAGTCAGACAGGTGTCGGAGTAAGACGAGAGTCAACCTCGGGAAGGCATTCAACAAATGGAGAGATCTCCGGTCTGCTCTTGGTCTCAAACGGGATCCTCAGTTGGCTTTTTTTCTTGATAAAACGGTAAGATATAGCCCAGTCTCTAATGTCTGATACGGCAAATCTATGACAACAAATGACGATGCGTAAAATGTGAAATGCTTTAGCGTAAGCTAGATAAATGTACAATCAGATTTGGTTTTACTACCATTGTCAGTGAACAGGTTCATAAACTAGGAATTGTCTTCGGAAGAATAGTACAACATAAAACATATCCCATAAAAGATGCTAAAGTTACCTATGTTTTTGTGTATGACCTACCGGTAGCCTTGTGTACTTTGCTAACATGATAAGGTGCTCATGTCCTTGACCAACAAGGAAGAACGCCGTTGCATTGGCTATATTTTCTTTTTCATAAAAAATAGTAAATTGTTCCCAGGAATGTGAATTCGGCGGATTAGCCTGTTTGGCTTTTACAGTAACGTCATAGTGCCATTTAATTGTTTATTACCGTGAGACATTTAAGTGTACTTTGTTGACCAACTGTGTATGGTATGATTATTATTTTGAGCTTTTACAAAGTAATAACTTATATTGTTCATGAACGTGTTTCCATAATACACTCATAAGTGGATACAGTAAACACATAAAACAGTTCAACATACATGGAGATAGATGGAAACAAAAAACAAACTTTTATACTACCCCCGTTTTCCCCTCACACATAAGTGTGTAATTTACTCAAATGCCTTTCCTTTCATATATTTAAAATGACTTGCAGATTTATAACTTTATTACCTCTGAAGACATTATGACTGTCAACAAAAGATTTGTGCGGCTAATGCTCTTTTGGTTATGAACAGCTCGTGCAAGCGTGCGTGTGCGTGTGATCCATGAGCGTGCACATCTCTGGTTGCAGTTTCGCTTGTCGCCAGAGGGGGCATAGTTCTGCAGAAAACTCAGAAACCTGCGCTATGCACCTTTAATGTATGGTGTCATTATTCCCTGAATTTTTTCTAGTGTTTGTGCTGAGTTTGAAAAGTTTAATAAAGACTGTTATTGTTATCTTCTACCACACAATATGTGACAATTAGTTAACAGTAGTTAATGCACTGTGAGCTAACAAGAACATGAACATTTTTATTAACGAACATTAACAAAGGTTAATAAATGCTGTAAGAATATACTGCTCATTGTTATGAATTTAATTGGACAGTTACGTGTTTGGTCTCAGGGTTTCCTAGTTGTGATGTTATGAGAGCCTGAATGGAGTGATGTCATTGAAGTGACTAATCTTCCACATACAGCTCTAAACAAAGATTGTGCATTACCCATTGAGCCTCTAATACAGAGTGATGGCATATTACAGCATCAGGCTCTGTTGAGGCTCGGAGATGTAATCTGAGACACTGCCCTGTTGTGTAGTCTGGTTGTGTAGCCTGGTTTTCAGTTTGAGTATGAAATATGATAGTTGAGTCATTATATTAATTGGCAATGGATCTTGTTCACAACTAAGTAATTAATTGTCATGAGTGGACATCTCTCTGTACAACACCTGTGCAGGTTCACCCTGTTCTCTTGATGTCAACTACAAGTTGAGAAATCATACTGTACAGTTGGGTCCTAAAATCTTTTGTATTTGAGACAATTGTTTTCATTACATACTATACTGTCAACATAATTTGAGCGAGTATATCTAGTCAGATGGAAATTGAAACAATGATATGTATTTGACTCAGGTTCTCATGTGGGGACAGGGAGATTGTGTTCAAACTTTTCAGGTTTGGTTTGATTAAAATAAACTCTGGTGCGGTTGCCAACTGAACCCTGGGGCCGAATTCACGAAAATCCCCTTAAGAAAGAATTTAAGACTATTAACTTATAAGCAGTTCTGAAGAATGCCATTCTTGAAGAAATTCCTAAGAAGTTCTCAAATATTTTCTCGAGAACATTTTAATGTTTTTCTTAAGAAGAAAACCACAGTCTTTCGTGTTACTTGATTGAAAGACTGGTATTTGCTGATGAGTTGGTGAATTAAAGATTGGTGAATTAAAAGTTGGTGAATTAAAAACACCTCAAAGTCTGTTTTTTTTGCGCTGCCTGTAGATTACTTAGATATCAAGTGTGTAGTCGTCACAACTAGCTTGATGGGAGTTAATCACGCCGTTTTTAATGCGCTGTGTCAAGTTTAAATAGTTTTTTTAAAAGAGCCCATGTCTCAAGATTCAGCAGTCTTTCACATTCATTTGTATTATATGTAGCTAGTGTTATGTTATAATGCTTAATATTTGAAACAACCCAATAAATTCATTGAACATCTTACCTTTGGGGATTTAAAACAGGTTGGAGGTTATCCTAACTTTATGAAGTTAATTATGATGATAAAAAAAAAAAAATCTTTTTATCAATCTTTATTCTTAAGTTAGAAAATAAGAAGAAATATGCAGTTAAGAAGAATTTTATTGTGAATCCGGCCCCTGTTGCGCACCAAACAAGCAGACAGAGACCCACATTTTCAGGTGGTCTCGGTCAGCTTCTAAACGAACTTTTGACTCGTCTGCACATTTCATAAACTCTTTGCGAGTTCTCTGCTGGTAAAAATACCACCATGTACAACAGGCACATTTACACCCAGCACACAGCATTGCTTTGGATGTTTGCAAAGGTCCGTTGTAAAATATAGGGTGAATTTAGGTTGATTGAGGCACTTTTTCCAAGTATTCTCAATGGCAAAAAGTACCCCACTCACTCTGAATTCGCCCTACGTCATAAAAGCTGTTTGTTAAAAATGATAGTGTTTATGCTAAGTGAACCTTGACAATAAATGTTTTTTCGTACCAAAAGAACCTAGAGAACTGAACTACATGGTGTTTCGTAAATATATATATATATACACACACACACACACACATATATATATATATATATATATATATATATATATATATATATATATATATATATATATATATATATATATATTGCCCTATGTCTTTTGCACAGTTTACTGACCAATTTATATAACACCCCCTGCCCTCACACTTACCACAGTAAAAGCACCTGTTGGAGTTTACGCTTGTCCATCACCACAATTGGCACCTCTGTTACTGTTCATCACCCCTTTAATCACAACAACACTTGAGCTGCATGAACTAAGTTTGTGTCAAACCTGATGTTCAGGCTGCTGTTCTCCAGCATGATTTGTGATGATCCAATGCTTCAATGGAAGAACATCTGACCGTCTGTACAAAATGCCACAATTGAAATATTAGTGACCTATAAATAGTGCAGAATCTGAAATATTTTTTTCTTTATTCTTCATGACTTTAAAGTTTAAGTTGATAGTCGCTGTGGATGCATTTGAACCCAGCTAGATGATGTTATTCACTGATGTTCATACAGTAGTGGCTAAAAGCGATGTCTGGCGGAGATTATTTTGTTTTTAATGACCCTACAAGTTTGATTAAACCATCAAAAACACACACACACACACACATATATATATAATATATATATTAAAACCATACATGGACTATAGCATATTCAGTTAATAATATTTCGTTGTTTCTCTCTTTTGTTCATAATTTCATTGTGCGACAGCCTGGCCAAAATCGATTTCCGCACACTTTGGCATGTTTCATTGCGTTATCACAAATCAAGCAATTGACCCCTTGCACAACTACACAATATACTTACACAATCTTTATAATAATATTTGAATCAATTTTCCTAGGCCTGACATCTCTTTTCGCTACTACAGTATTTAGACCAAAGGCCACGGATGAAACGAATACTAAATATTGAGCTCATGAATATATATTTTTTCCTATTTGTTGAAGTTTTCTGTTCAAACATGTTAAAGGATTACAAATTTGTTTTTGAAATGTGTTAAAATGTGCATTTTTTAAATGTGTCTTTGCTCTCAGTGCACAACTGGACACTGGAGGATGCCGTTCAGTGGCTGAAGGAGTCGGTGGAGCTTCCTCAGTATGAAATAAACTTCAGAGATTTTAAAGTAGATGGCAACACGTTACCTCGGTAAACACGCATGCACTTTTGTGTTTCATTCATAGACTCTCCAGTGACTATTGTTTTTATACTGAGTTATAACAACTTTTCTACTCCTAAGCCTTACACAGCCTCACACAATTTTTTTTTCATTCATGCATTATTTAGTGTGATTTTTAAGCCACACTTATTGTGACAGAACCTTACAGAGAGTTGAAACTAGTAGAAGTATCTTAACTCTCTCGCTAAAAGAGTAACACTTCACAATAAAGCTTCAGTTGTTAGCATTAGTTAACTACATTGGTTAACATGAACTAATAGAGAACAACTTATTTTAGTTAATGTTAATCTCAACATTTGCTAAAACAAAAGTTAACCTGTTAACATTAGATAATGCACTGTGAACTATCATGAACATGAACATTTTTATCAACTAACCTTAAAGGATAATACTAAATGTTGTAAAAATAAAATATATTGCTCGTTGTTCATGCTAGTTAATGCATTATGCAAAAAAATAGACCTTATTGTAAAGTGTTACCACTAAAAGTAAAAAAAGAGCCTATTAAGAATTTATTTTGAGTATTTTTTTATATGGATTTTTATTAGTTATTCAATGCTGATCACCAAATGTTAGATTAAACAGCAGCGCTTCCCCCTAGTGGTGATGACGTGTCAGTGCACAGACAGTGAAGACGTGCATAAGTGTGGGGGGCAAAGAAAGGTTTATGGTGTTGAGTTTCCCCTCACGGCCGCTTCTCCATGACTCATGAAATGATGTCACAGCATCAGATCACCTTTCACCTGCAGCTATGCCCAGTATGAGTGTGGTAGCACATGTGATCTTTCAGTCATATAGTACTCGCTTCATAAAATTAGTCCCTTGAGCTTGAACTTGCCATTCATACACACACATACAGTCACATAGTCACATACCCCCCCCCAAAAAACACACATTATAGGATAGTTTTGCACTTACAGGGATTTGATTTATTTGTATTACGAGATTTATTGGGTAACACTTTAATTTAATGTTCCCCCTTAGACATTCTGTTGACTGTATAATGTTGCACCTACATGTCAACTAACTCTCATTAGATCATTAGTAGACTGTCTGCTTAAAATCTGCTAACACTTTATTGTGACAGTCCCACAACAGACATTCTACTGACTAAGTAACTTTGGAACCTGAACCCCTTATTCTACTAACCCCTTCCCCTAACATTCTACTAATACTCATCTGATACTCTAATGAGTGTTAGTTGATATGTTGGTGCTACATTACTTATAGTTGGTTCTAAAGGGGACCATCAAAATAAAGTGTAACCATTTATTGGATGTACTTATGTTGATTTGCACTAAACATTTCAAAGTAACGGATGTTTGAGGGAACACAAACTATGATTCTTGTCAGTAGAAACAGGCTGATTTTGTGTGATCTTGACTCACATTCTGCCTCCTGACCTGCATTGTTTTTCTTTCTGTTACAGATTAGCGGCCAATGAACCGGCGTTTATGTCTATGCAGCTAAAGATATTAGACCAACGACATAAACAGAAATTAAATCTAAAAGCATTGGATGCAGTGCTTTTTGGACCTCCACTACGTAAGTGCATTGAGACATGTTTAATTGTTTATTTAAAAGGATAGTTCAAATTGATTTTGTTCCAAAACCATATGGCTTTGCTTCCTTGGAAAACAAATAATGTACTAGTCCTTTTTTCAATGCAGTTAAAATGTATGTAGTTCATAACTACACTATACTGTAAAATATATTTTTTTAGGTACAATCAACTTGGATGTTTAGGTCATTTCAACTTAAATTACATTAAACTGACTTTAAAAAATGAGTTGAATCTTGTATAACATGTAGAAAGTTAAAAAAAAGGCTTAACTTATGTATACAGTATGTTGTTATAATTTATTGATCATATATTTTTTTTACAGTGAGGTTTGGGGTCAGTAGAGAAATTTATACTTTTATTTAGCAAGACTTTTATTTGGAGATAAATTAATACTTTATTTATCAAGAATGCATTAAATTGATCAAAAGTTGCAGACTTTTATATTGTAAAAAACTATTTCAAATAAATACTTTTTCAAAAGTTCTTTTGAACTTTCTATCCATCAAAAAAAAAAAAAAAATCCTTAAATGTATCATGGTTTCCAAAAAAAAAAAAACATTACAAAAATCAAACCGACCCCAAACTTTTGAATGGTAGTGTATGTTCTGAATTCTTCTGGAGTATTCTGCAGTCAAGCAGCTTTGTGCAAGGAACAGACCAAAGTTGGTACATTCAAGGGTTAATGAGAGAAACAACAATGCGCAATTTATTGATGAATTGTTAATTGTTCTTTTTTTGAGTCAGATCTTTTCAATGAATCATTTGATCCCGTTCTCAAAGCAGGTGGAAATTATTTAAAATTCACTGTAAAAAGTGATCAGTTGATCAATACCACATAACTTTTTTAAAACACATTCATTTTTTTTAATTACGCATGTAGATTATTTGTTTAATAATTTTAAGGTAACAGTTTTCCTCGCTTTTTTTAAGTTAAGTCAACTGATCCCTTTTTACAACCGTTTCACTCATCCGGTTGCAGCAGTTAAAGGGATAATCTACCCAAAAATGAAAATGATGTCATAATTTTGTCATTCTCATGTCGTTCCAAACCTGTATGCATCTTTTTTTCTGCTAAACAGAAAAGAAGATATTTGGAAGAATGTTGATGTCCAAACAGTTTTGGTTCGCATTGACTTACATTATAATTTTTTTGTCCATACAATGGAAGTCAATGCAAACTGCAACTGTTTATTTACCAACTAAACAATAACTACATGAGAGTGAGTAAATTATGACATAATTTTCAGTTTTGGGTGGATTATCCCTTTAACAGCTCTCTCAAGTCATGTAAAGTTTGGTTAGTGTCTTTGGTTGTTTAAATACTTTCCTCTCTCCTTCCTCTAGGTCCACACCATCACTGGCTGAAGGACTTTATTTTGATGATTTCAATCATCATTGGTGTTGGGGGCTGTTGGTTCGCATATATACAGAACAAATCGTCTAAAGTTCACATCTCCCAGATGATGAAAGATTTGGAGAGTCTACAGCATGCTGAACTGAGCCTGACAGAGCTACAGAGCCGGTGAGCGAAAACAGACAGTGAAAGAGAGACTGTGCCTGTCTCAATAAGACCATGGGATATTCTGCCTTATTCTTTCATCTGTATAACATCATATTTCATTTCTTGTTATGAGAAGGCTCATTAAGCTCTTTTATTCCTCTATTCCTCAAGGGAATAGTTCATCCTGAAAAGGAAATACTATCATCAATTTACTCACCCTCATGTCATTCCAGATCCACACGAGTTTCTTCTGTAGAACACAAAAGGAGAGACTAGCTTTAATATGTCAAAAAGCACCATACAAGTTGTCCATTCAACTCTCACATAAATCTTCTGAAGGCATACTATAGCTGTATGTGAAGAACAAACTGAATTTAGCTGTCTGTACACACACACACACACACACACACACACTATCAGAGGTGTGAAAGTAATGTTCATATTACAGAAATGTACAGTTCTAAGATAATAGAGATTATGCAGCTAACTAACGTAATGCATTCATTTACGCAGAAACAATGAGAATGATGATTACAATATATGGGAAATTTGTCAGTTTTGTATGTTGATTCAGAGTTGACGTCATCTGAAGTCCTCGCAATTGTCCTCGTTTGATGTCATCTCTCCACATGTGTTGGGTCATCTTAAATCTTCATAAGAGGCTGGATCCAAACTGGTGTAATCTCTAGTTAGAAACTGAAGAGCAAATGAAGAATAATTAGCGTAGCTGCTGATCGTAACATTTCAAGCAAAAAGATAATCATGTGCATTTGATCATAATATAACTGGAGTGCAAGCTTATTGAAACCATTATGTGAATGCTAGGCTAAAGATGTGTTTAATCTAGATTTAAACTGGGATATTGTGTCTGAGCCCCGAACATTATCAGGAAGGCTATTTAAGAGTTTAGGAGCCAAGTGTGAAAACTCGCTCCCTCCTTTAGTGGACTTTGCTATCCTAGACATCACCAAAAGTCCAGAGTTTTGCAACTCTTTAAAGAGCATAATTGATAATAGCATGATAAAAGATTGGTTAAGTTCACAGGAGGTGAACAATTTAGTGCCTTATAAGTGAGTAGCAATATTTTGTAATTGATTCGGAACTTAATAGGTAATCAGTGTAGAGATGATGAATTTGGGTTATATGATCATATTTTCTTGACCTGGTGAGAACTCTAGCAAGTGCATTTTGGACTAACTGGATCTTGTTTATTGAGGATGCAGGACAACCACCTATAGTAGTGCATTACAGTAATCCAGTCTAGATGTCATGAATGCATGAACTAGCTTTTCTGCATCAGATACAGATAACATGTTCCATCGATTGTCTTTTGAAAACCATATTTCACAAGTTACTAAAACAGCGTTACTAAAATTGCTGTCTTATGTAATTCAAATTGTATTCTAAGAGCTTCCGTGTACAGATATTTGGTCCAATAAGTAATATCTCTGTCTTATCTGGTCATCCAGTATTTTATATTTTTAACACATTCTGTCAACTTAGTTATATATTTCATCAAGACCAGATGAAATTTCAAAATGATCTGAGTATCATCAGCATAGCAATGGAACATAGCAATGGAAACTCCAAGTGTTCTAATAATATTACCAAGGGGCTGCATGTATAATTAAAATAGCAGAGGGCCTAAAACAGGTCCTTGCGGCACTCCATACTATACTGGCGTTAACTTAGATAATTCACTGTTTAAATAAAATGGTAACGGTCAGACAGGTAGGATCTAAACAACCTTAATGCCTGGCCCTGAATACCAGTGTAATTTTGTAATCGATCTAAGATACTACATATGGAGTCTGTAGACGCAATATGTCAGGTTTGATGTCACAGTCAATGATGTTGGCATTACATTCATAATGTTATAAGACATCTATAGTCAAACTTACACAAAGCTATCATATGACGTGGAATATAGTACACAAGTCATGTGAACTCTATTTATTATACTATTATGAAGCTTTACAGCCTATATCCACATTCACTTTCATTATATAGAAAAGAGTGGATAGGATACTGTTTCTTTTATTTTCCACAGAAGAAAGAAGTCAAAGGTTTGGAACTACATGAGAGTGAATAAATGATGACAGAATATAATAATTATCATTAATAATATATTTAAATTCTAACACACCAGATTTCAAATGTGGCTTAAATTGCTCTGTGGTTTCGTCAGGTTGGAAAAGGCTCAGGAGGAGAACCGGACAGTGGCGGTGGAGAAGCAGAACCTGGAGCAGAAGATGCGTGATGAGATCAACGGAGCAAAGAGAGAAGCTAGCAGACTGCGAGAGCTGCGAGAGGGGGCTGAATGCGAACTCAGCAGACTCAAGTACGCAGAGGAGGAACTAGTGCAGGTAGGAACCAATAACACAAGGTCTTTCATAGATGTGAGTTGGTCTTTAGTGTGATAAGACAGACTTTATACATATAGAGGGTATGCGCATGACGTCACCGTCGGCCGGAGTGAATGCGGTCACGCCCACAAGTGGCAAAAAGACTGAGCGGCAGCATTTGTTTTCAGCGTGAACGCCGTGAAAATCACACAAAACACATCTAAAACGGGAAAGAGCTTTGCGATTGACTGTACAACTAGATTTGACCAGAAATCTGAGGTACTGTATATTTTTACAGACTGCAAAAAGCTACAGAACAGACTATATTCTGCATAATTGGATGTTTTTAAATAAACACTGACAAAAAACTATACAAGTTTTAGGGCTGGACGATATGATGATATACAGTATAACATTAATGTAAGTGATCACTCGGATTTAGACCTATCTATATTGTATTTATTTAAAACGTTTACAGGCAAATTGTCTTCATTTATTTCTCCGGCGTCGAAATCAGGCACATATAAATGTCAGGAAACACGATTCCTGGCTGCATGTCAATATCCATGGATCACTGGATCTTTGATAAGTTGTAAGGAACACTATATCGAGTCCAACTTTTAGTTTAAACTGATAATAGTTTGCTTTACTCGCGTTAACGCAGTTTCCCCTATTAACTCCAGTCAGGCAGCAGCTCTTCTGCCACTCAGTCCCGCTGAGGGGGGCGTGTTTCCGGCGGGGAAGTGACGTTAATGCATTCCCTCTATTGCAGTTTATTCTGGCTAAGAACTTCCCACATACACAGTAAAAAGCCTGACTGACATGTAAAACACAGTTACAATTTTTTGCATCAACAGTTAAATTTTTTTACAAGACGCATATACAATTCAATTTTGATTTAAAGTACTTTATTGGCGTGATTGGTGTGATATTGTATACATGGCCGTATACACTATACATACACTACCGTTCAGATCTTTCTGGATCGGTACGTTTTTAAAAATGTTTTTGAAACACAGAGACTGCATTTAGTTGATCAAAAAATTGTGAAATATTATTACAAGTTTGTATTTGAATATATTTTAAAATGTAATTTATTCCTGTGATGGCAAAGCTGAATTTTCATCCGCCATTAATTCAGTCTTCAGTGTCAGGTGAATTCTTTGATGAATAGAAAGTTCAAAAGAAAAGCATTTATTAGAAATACTAATCTTTTTAACAATTTAAAAGTCTTTACTGCACATTTTTATTAAATCAATGCTTCCTGGCTAAATAAAAGTATTAATTTCTTAAAAAAAAATTCTTAAGGGCCCCACATTTTTTAATGGTATTTTAAGAAGCAGGTAAATTTGAAATTAATGCTACCACAATAACTAACCAATGATAGACCATTTTATGCGTGTCAGAATTTCTGTCTGTTTAAAAGTAATACAGTACATATGAGCTATGGACATGATACAGTAATGATGAATATATTTTTCAAGCTATTAAAATTGCCTTATAAAATTAAACTTTAGGGTTAGTATAATAAAATGATTGGATGAATTGCTATGCATCCAAAATGAATTAATTTCCTGCAGTTTACCATTCCTTGTCTGTTGCCTTACAACAGCCCTCTTCTTTAAATACACTAGATCGTTCCACAATATAAGTAATATATTGCAAATTCCACTTGTAATATATGTTTGAGTGTTTGTTGGGTATTTCCAGGTGCGAATGGCGCTGAAGAGAGCAGAGAAGGAGATGCAGTCAGATTGGTCGGTGCCTGAAGCCCTGCAGATGTGGCTACAGCTGACACATGAGGTGGAAGTGCAGTACTACAACATTAAAAAACAGAATGCTGAGCAGCAGCTCATGGTCGCAAAGGACGAGGTGAGGGATTTATGTTGTCACTTCCTGCTGGGACAGGAAATGTCTGTTTTAAAGTTGCTGACCAAACAGTTATAGGTTCTTTGAGTTTATAAAATATTTACGTTGTACTTCAACCCTTATACATTACAAGTGAAGTTTACTTTTCAGTTTTAAACTACCTAAACAAATTTCTCTCTCAGCGACTAACAAAAACGAAGCTGAAACTTCTCCCCTTTAATTTAGATTTCTAATGATGTGGTTAAATTACCTTTTAACTACATGGTTTGTTTTTCCGTTTGTTATTTGCTTCTGAAATGAGTCATCAGCAGTTAAACTAAAGCAATTAGCAGCCACTGCAGCAGGAGAGAAGAGCTTGAGTTCAGTACAACCAACGACTGGGGCATTTCCATGCAGTATCTTTGTATTTTCATCACTTGTGTGTTTCTGTGTTCATGTTATGTGAATTTCAGGCTGAAAAGATCAAGAAGAAGAGGAACTCTGTGTTTGGTACCCTCCATGTTGCACACAGCTCATCGCTAGATGAAGTAGACCACAAAATACTTGAGGCTAAGTAAGCACACTTAATAGACTTGCAGTCACTTTACCAACCACCCACACAAAAAGCTAACGGTTTCTCACATTACATGAAAGTTTATCAGTGTTTTTTGCTTTTTAGAAAATCTCTATCAGAGGTCACAGCGTGTTTGCGGGAACGTCTCCACCGCTGGCACCAAATAGAGAAATTATGTTGCTTGCCATTAGTTAATAACTCTGGGCTGCCCAGCCTCACCGCCTCCCTGTACGCTGACCACAGCTGGGTGGTCATGCCGCGGATGTCAGTACCACCCTACCCAATCGCTGGCGGGGTGGACGATCTTGACGAGGACACACCACCAATCATTCCACAGTTCACCTGTAAGTTTCTCTCTTCAGGATCAAGATTGTGAGAAATGTGAAAATGTGACTTTACACACACACACACACACATACAGTATATGGGCCATTCAACAGAATTTGTTCAAAGTCAGAGTTGGAAACGTCTTGGAAAAAATGTGTCTTTTTCCACAAATTTTGTATGTATGCAAAGTGTATACTATCCAAGGTACACATTTCTAGTAATCGTGCAGTTAATTATCATATTGTATTTTCAGAATGTTTTGGAATATTTTTCCTCTCCCCAAATTTGTCACTACCGAAACACAATAATAAAACATTTAATAAGAAGGCTTATATTTACCTATTAATATTTTGTTTACATCTACCTTGTAAATATATTTTTTGCTATTTAAAAAAAAAAGTTTTCACAGGTAAATCAATAACAATTACAATTTTAACAATATTTCAAGTGTAATTTATAAGATTTGTTGTATTTTGAATACAATCTTTGTAAGAGGCATTAAGTAAATCAAACTGATTTCAAAGTTAAGGATTCATTAGGTTGAATATACATTGAACCAAACACTATAATAACATCTTAGTTGATAATTCAATATACTTTATTTTAGACAAAACATTGCATGTTTTGGTCATGACGGCACATTTTCGGTAGTGACAGTAATGTTTTGGTAGCGACCACATCACATTACAGAATTTTAACTCGCATACTAAAACACTACTAAAACATACTAAGATACTAATGATTTGCATAACATGTTTCGGTAGTGACAATTTTAGATACTTTTCAGTCTAGTTCAAAGATGATAACCAGCACATGGTTACCTAGCACAGTTCTGAACAGTTGTACAGACATACAAACTAAATTTTATGGAATAACACCCGAAAAAGTTTACTTAATTGCAGAAAAAGGGTGTTTGGTAGTGACGTTCCCTAAAGTTACACACATTTTTTTAGACTTTTGAACACATTTCCCTCAAAATGATGGTACCTATCTACAATGAAACAGAGGCTATGAGAGAGAGAGGGACACAGGAATTTTTCCTGATCAAAAATGTAGGGCTGTGGTTAAAATTAGTTTCAGCCAATGGACTAAAACACACACACTGTTTCGGTAGGGACAGAAATATGCAGGACACTTTTTTTTTTTAACATAAAGTTTCATGATTTAAAAATAAAATATAAAATAAATGTTTTTTTTCTTTTTAACTTCACTTTTTAAAAGATATTTTTAAAAACAACAATGGAATTTATTAATATAAACTTATATTTGAAAATATTATTGTGTATTCAATAGATAATATAAGGATATTAGTACATCTAAAATTTGAATACTTAAATGCTTTTTAAATGTGTTTTTTGGTTGGTGGACTGCAGTTTGCACCAATTCAGTAGAATGGCCCATATACACCCTATAGAATTCTATGGTTTTATATCAGGACATATTAAAAAAGCATCTGTTCCTTGGTAGGTCTTAAAATTAGGTAAATACAACCTCAGATGAACAACAACACATGACATATTACACCATGTAATTATTTATTTAACAAAAACTAGGCCAAAATGGAAAAGCCATGGGTGACAAACTAACTAAAGTACACCCTTCCATAGGAATGAAAAGGGTAAGTAGCAGTCAGGCACTTTTAAAGTCCATCATTCTATAGTGAGGAAGATTATTTACAAGTGGAAAACATTCAAGTTGCCAAGACAGTTGCCAATCTTCCAAGGAGTGGACATCCCAGCATATTTACCCCAAGGTCAGACTGTGCAATGCTCAGAGAAATCGCAAAACAGCCAAGAAATACATCTCAGACTCTACAGGCCTAAGTTAACATGTTAAATGTTAGAGGTCATGGCAGGACAATTAGAAAAAGAAAAAGTTTGGAAGGGTTGCCAGGAGAAAGCCTCTTCTCTCTAAAAAGAACTTGGTTGCACAGCTTAGGTTTGCAAAGTTACATCTGTAATGATTTCTACTTGATTGACTTAGTGATTTTTTTTATCACGTGTCACTGTCTTAAGGTGTGGTTATGAGCGTATCAGATGACCCCTCCCCCTTTTCAATATGGGGCAATACGTTTAAGAATACTATTTAACAATTTAAGAACACTCCCAATTCCCAAAGGAGCTGTCCAATAATTTAGAATTAATGTCAAGTAGAGAGAGTTGGTCAGATGATTTATCTGAAGGATTTGTAAGAGTCGTAAGTAATAATGCTAATAATGAATATGCACTGCTAAAGGTTAATAAACTAATACCCAAAAAGGAAAGTACTTAATTAAACAATTAAACAAACAAATTATGTAAACACAGAATGGATAAATACAATGTTGTTGAACTGAATGTAGAGATGGAAGAGAATTGTATGGGAATGCTTCTTATGAGAAACCACCTAGATGGCTCTGACAAAATGGTGATAAAAAATGCGTATTTATCATTAAACAAATAATATACCTATTATTTGTTACAAACTGACCCCAGGTAATAGTTATCTAAGCAAGTTAGAAAAACATATGCTGCAGGTATAAACTAATGCCAAGGTTTCTAGAAAGAGGTTTGATAAGTTTATATTTACGTTCCACACAGTCGGGTGATCAGTCCGGCAGTAGAGACGTCTTCCACTGGTGATGCGTGCAGTGGGAAGGGTGCAGAGTTGCAATCCAGTAGTCATTGCCACGCTGGGCTGGAGGATGCTGAACTTTGGATGGTGGACTGGGCAGCTGGGTCTGTTGAATATTCACAGGGTCTTTAGCAGGTTGGCTGCATCACTGAGGAGCTGTGTGGGACAGGCAGTGTCTGCCGAAGCAGAGATCCTTTGGGGACTGGGCTGCGCTGCTGGTAGAGCTGTAAGGGTCAGATATATAGGTTAATATAAGGCCAATATTTGGTTTTGCTCGCAAAAGCTTAACCCCAACTATCTTGTAGGCTCTTTCCTCATTAGGTCAGAAACTCAGGACGTGGCGTGTCTCTTATGTCTCCTTCCTGTCGAGTTGGAAACCCAGAACAAGGGTGTCTCTACCCGGGGGACATTTTTAACGTTTTACCCATGCAATATTTCTTTACCAAACCTCTTTCAAATTATTAAAGACATCGTAAGGAACAGATAGAGACCAAACACGAAAAGAACCGGTTATGTAATCGGCATGCATTCATTTTCTGTTAATAGGTCCCGTGAACTGTTGTGTTAACAGTCAATAACTATTAACATACACATTGCTTTGCATGACGATGAAGTGGATGTGTTGCAGTTTATATTAATTTAAGGCCTCCAAAAATATGTGTGAATGGATTTAGGTAGACTCTCTTTGCTGCTGCATCCGGGAGGTCCTAAAGGATTTTTTTTATGGCAGTTCTTACCTAAACCTTAGGAATGAGTTCGGTGGTTACTAGAGTGATCCTGTAGACCAATGAGAAGTCCTCTCAATGGACTACATGTCCTGTAAGACGTGTCTGGCAGTTGTCTTAGCATCTAATCTGATGTTGCTTAACATTTGTTTATGTTCATTCACCAAGGGTCCAATCACAGTGTGGCACATCTTCTTCCAGACTGGCAGTTAGACTAGGGCCTTACCATAAACTTGTCCCTGGAATTCCATCTTAACTGATGTTCATCACACATCTGAACAAACCACAAGACTTCTGGAACAATGTCCTTTGGACAGACGAGACCAAAGTGGAGATGTTTGGCCATAATGCACAGCGCCAGTGTATATCCGTGAGCCAGCGTATCAGCACAAGGACATCATACCAACTGTCAATCACGCTGATTGAGAGTTGATGATTTTTGGCTTGTTTTGCAGCCACAGGACCTTACATTCATTGAGTCGATCATGAACTGCTCTGTATGCCAAAGTATTCTAGAGTCAAATGTGAGGCCATCTGTCCGACAGCTAAAGCTTGGCCAAAATTGGGTCAAGGAACAAGACAATGATCCCAAGCACACTAGCAAATCTACAACAAAATGGCTGAAAAAGAAAATAATCAAGGTGTTGGAGTCCAGACCTCAAACCGACTGAAATGTTGTGGCGGGACCTTAAAAGAGCTGTGCACAAGCAAATGCCCGCAAACCTCAATGAACTGAAGCAATGTTATAAAGAAGAGCGGTCCTAAATTCCTCCAGATTAATGCCAGAGACTGATACTGTCATACAGAAAACGATTTCTTGCTGCTAAAAGTGTCTCTACAAGCAATTGAATCATAGGCTGTACTTAGTTTGTCACCGATGAATTTTCCATTTTGGCTTTATTTTTGTTAAATAAATAATGACACAGTGTGATATGTCATGTGTTGTTGTTCACCTGAAGTTGTATTTACCTAATTTTAAGACCTGTTAGCGACCAGATGATTTTTATTATGTTCTGATACGTAAAACTATACAATTCTAAAGGGTGTTTTTTCAGGATTTGTGGGTGAATAGAAAGTTAAAAAGAACAGCATCTCGTATCAGCCAGAATTGTAGTATTGTTGTATCCCTAATACAATGTTTTGAAAGATCCACAATCAACAGGGCTTTTCACACTGGGCTTAACCACGAGTTATGGTCGTTCAAAAAACACAGCTTTTAACCCTGGGTAAAGGAACGTTTCACACTTGTAATTTAGAAGCGGGGGTTAGCACCGCTTTTTACCCGGGGTTATGAAACCCTGCTCCGGAACAGGGTTAGTACAGCTTTTGCAGTGTTAACCCTGCATTGCAGTGCTAAACTTGTACAGTGTGAAACAATGTGATGTTAAAGCTAGACGCTTAGCAACAGAAAACCAATCGCGAACATATTTGTGTGCTTTGCTACAGTCAAAGTGTTAGTGTGTCAGATTCTAGTGTGTTTGAAATGTTATTTTATTATTTCTGCATTGGACAGTTCTTGTTCATTCATAATGTACATTCTTTGTTATGATAAGCGTACCATGAGAGACTGCTAATGATCTATCTGTCCTCACAGCTGCTTTGATTCGACCTCCTCTGACCCGCAACAGCAGTGTTTGTCGTTCTCGCAGAAGTCTTTTGTCTCAGCCTTCGTCACTCTCTGCTGACCCTGACCTGTTGTCCATGGCTTCGGCCCCTCTGGCCTACAGACCCGATGGAGACGATGATCACATCTTCTTCACTGTAGAAAGGAAGGGGTATGACATCTACAGCTGTTTTTTTTCTTCATATACTAGAATTTTATTTTATATATAAAGCTTTTTATTAAAAAAATCTGTACGTTAATTTGTTAACTTACCTGTCTTTAAAAAAAATTTCATTTATTGTATATGTGAGTAATATCTGTGAATGTACACTACCGGTCAACATTTTTTAATAATTATGTTTTTTTTTTTATGTTTTGAAAGTCTCATGCTCACCAACGTAGCATTTATTTAATAAAAAATACAGTAAACTGTAATATTGTGAGATAGTATTACAGTGTAAAATAACTATTTTCTATTTGAATATATTTTAGAAAAGTTATTTATTCTTGAGATGGCAAAGCTATTTTTTCCAGCCACACGATCCTTCAGAAATCATTCTAATATGCCGAGTTGGTACTCAATTATTATTGGTGCTCAATTATTAATAGTGGTTCTTATTATTATGAACGTTGAGTTTTTGCTACACAAATAATTCTGTTTTTACTCTATTTTTGATCAAATAAATGGTGAGCATAAGAGACTTCTTTCAAAAACATAAAACAAATTAATTATTCCAAACTTTTGACTGATAGTGTATCTTTTTTTTTTAGATTATTATGATGCATTTTGTGCTATTTTTTTATGTTTTTGTTACACAGGGACCCTCAGGACACATGCTCAGATTCAGACTCTCTCAGTTCCTCTTTGGGCAGGAAGCAGTTCTCTGGTCAAAGTACATATGTTACGGGCACGGATACCCCACCACGTAAAATCTCTCGTGAGGAACTTCTTCTCCTGGCGCAAGAGGCCCAGGCTGCGGCCATGGAGACCTTACCTCCTTCCACATCCTCCCCTTCATCTCCTCTTGACTCCTCCTCAGGTCACAAGGGCTCTCCTGACCTTACCCACTATTCCGTCCTCCCAGAATCTCAAAGTTTAACCTTTCAACCTAGAACCAAAGCTGTGGCCTATAATGGCATTCTGGAAAAGTCATACAGCATGGGGCAGCTGCCCGCTGGTGGGACGCCTCCAGAGGGACATTACCCCTCGATTAGCTCACTCGACATAGAAAGCAAAGCTATCAAGGAGCCCAAGCAACTCCAAACCACCTCCTCCCAGGACTCTTGCGATAACGGAGAGAAAAAACGCTCCAAGATCAAGAGCTTGTTCAAGAAAAGCAAAAAGCTGTGAAGAACAGTAGAGAAGAGGATGAAATGGAGAGAAAAACAAGCCTTAAAACAAAATAAATGAGGGTGATGCTGTCAACCAGAAGCCAAAACATTTTTCAGTTTCTTTGTCCTTTTTTTTTCTTTCTTTAATTTAAATGGAATGTAGCTCCGTCTGGTTACAGTCCTGGGTTGGAAGCCTTTTTTTTATGGTGATTTCTTTTTTTAGCCTCACATCTATGCTGTTGAAGGAAAATGTCATAGCATTTTGCAGAACATGGCCTCTTCACTGTCTTCTGTTAAGGTTTTGTTTTCTATAAAGTGCACCCAAATTATGTCACTGGGGTCAGGAAGTATACCAAAAACAAGAGGAGGGGGGAGGGGATGTACAAATCTCCTTGAAATTTGTCCTAAGTGTATGGTGATCCACAAGTGAAAATTCGGTCATTATTTTCTTTCCATCATGCCCTTCCCAACCTGTATGCATTTAAAAAATAATAATAATTATGTGGGACACAAAATATATATAGTATAAAATATAATATATATATTTAAATAACCGTTTCATAGCTCTTGTCATACAACCATGGTTCATTGTGACCAAGGGCTGCTAAACTAAAAAAAACACCAAAAAGCAACATAAAAGTAATTTATACAACTCATGTGCTATATTCCAAGTCTTCTGTTCACCTGCCCTTTGCTTTTACTGTTAGCCTATGTACAAATGCTTCAGATGGATGTTTTTGACTGTTGTGGCATCTCACTGTCTTTTTCTACTTCATCCTGGCACAATCAAACTGCAAGACGCCATGATTTGAAGACTCTTTAGGTAGGTAGATCTCCAGGAACAGGATCTGGCACCCCTGCTTCTCCACAATTGACTACAGATCTGCCTCCATCTTAACTGCAATGCTCACATCTTAAAGTCCAATCATCAACTGATGGACCGAACTTTTCGGCAATCCGTTACACTCTGATGTCCTACATCACATTATGGGAGAACATCTGTCGCTATTAATTTTTCTGTGCAGCTTGCTGGCATGCTGTGTTTGGTTACTACACAGCTGATCTGGACTAAACCATAAACCATAGCTTGGTTGGAAGTGCAGATTATAAGTGAAAAATAACTTAAATATCAAGCTGTTTTCCACACAAACCTATCATATGGCTTTAGAAGACTTGGAATATAAATCGCATGGACAAATTCTATAGTGTTTTTTGTCCTTTTTGGTGCAAAAATGATCACCATGAACTGTTGATCACCATGATCACCATGAACTGATCACCATGATCACCATGAACTGTTGTTGTATGGCAAGACCTATGTAACAATTCTTTAAAAAAAAAATCAAAATTTTTGTGATCTACAGAGAAATTATTAGCTTTCAGGTTTGGAACGAACTGAGGGAGAGTAAACAATGACATAATTTTTACTTTTGGTTGAACTATTTCTTTTATGCTAAAATATATAACATATTCCCCCGGTTTCACAGACAAGGCTTAAAGGAATAGTTCACCCAAAAATGAAAATTAAAGGGTTAGTTCACCCAAAAATGAAAATTATGTCATTAATGACTCACGCTCATGGCGTTCCACCCCCATAAGACCTCCGTTCATCTTCGGAACACAGTTTAAGATATTTTAGATTTAGTCCGAGAGATTTCTGTCCGTCCATTGAAAATGTATACACGGTATACTGTCCTTGTCCAGAAAGGAAATAGAGACATCATCAAAGTAGTCCATGTGACCTCAGTGGGTTAGTTAGAATGTTTTGAAGCATCGAAAATACATTTTGGTCCAAAAATAACAAAAACTACGACTTTATTCAGCATTGTATTTTCTTCCGGTTCTGTTGTCAATCTGCGCTCAGTGATGCTGATGACGTAATGACGCTGCTGACGTGTTCTGGTGTGTCCGTGTATTCGGGTTCAAATAAATATGGCTGGGCAAAAAAATGCAAGTCTTCCTCTGTGTCGAAATCCTTAGACATGTTTGCGAAGATTGTTTTGTTTACAGCGTGCGTCTCCCTCAGACTGTAAACGAAGCTCGGGCGCACCAGATAACACGTCAGCAGCGTCTTATGTCAGCAGCGTCACTGAACGCGGATTGACAACAGAACCGGAAGAGAATACAATGCTGAATAAAGTCGAAAAAATATCTTAAACTGTGTTCCGAAGATGAACGGAGGTCTTACGGGCTTGGGACGACATTAGGGTGAGTCATTAATGACATAATTTTCATTTTTGGGTGAACTAACCCTTTAAACCATGATTTACTCACCCTCAAGCCATCCCACAGTATATGACTGTCTTCTTTCAGACAAACTCAATCTGAATTATATAAAAAAAATATAACTCCTGGCTCTTTCAAGCTTTATAATGGTAGTAAATGGTGGTGTTGATTTTGAAGTCCAAAAAAAGTGCATCCATCCATCATAAAAGTGCTCCACACGGCCACAGGGGGTTAATAAAGGCATCGATTTTACGGCAAAAGAGTAACCCCTGACGCGATGTATGAAGTAGGATGTAGGAGTAGCTTACAATCTCAAACAAATAGAGCTGGGCAACAAACTCAAGCTCCTCTTGTCTCATATCAAAATCCTCTGACATTTCTCTTTAAAAATTCATGTTTTAGACTTCTAATTCATGTCGCTCTTTTGCTCTATCCTCTGCTCTTCTGTGTTCTTCAATGCATGTGTCAGGTCAAGGTTTACTCTTTCACCGTAAATCGATGCCTTTATGAACCCCCTGTGGCCGTGTGGAGCACTTTTATGATGGATGGATGCACTTTTTTTGGGACTTCAAAATCAGGACCGCCATTCACTGCCATTATAAAGCTTGAAGAGCCAGGATATTTTTTAATATAACTCCGATTGTGTTTGGCTGAAAGAAGAAAGTCATATACACCTAGGATGGCTTGAGTATGAATAAATCATGGGGTCATTTTCATTTTTGGGTGAACTATCCCTTTAAGCCTAGTACCAGACTAAAATGCATGTTTGAGCTGTTTTAACTGAAAACAACTTGCACTGACACATCTTAAAATATGTCGGTGTCATTGTTTTGTCTCAAGATGCACACCAGTAATGTTTTTTTCTAAGGCACATTTATAAAAGCTACTTAAATGTCCTAATTGAACAAAGGCCTAATCATGGCTTAATCTAAACGCTGTCTGTGAAACCAGACCTCGAATTCACAATACTTTTAATGACAGCTGGATGTTGCTTGAAATATCCCTGCCTTTGACATCACAAGAAAAAGTTTGTAATATTTAGTTCACTGCTAAGGTTGAGGTTTTCCTATAGTGTGAAAACCGTCAAAAATCCTTTCCCCTCCTCTCAAGGGCCCAGGGTGGGCTTTCAGCTTTGTCATTTCTGTTTACTGCCACAGAGCTCCTGTACTTGACAATATTTTTTTTAAGTAAAAAAAAAAAAAGAGGTAACACTTAACATAAAGCAGCATGTCAGACTGCCTGTAATTAACACAATAGTTTAGTAAATTAATAAAAATTACTTTACGTTCTTAAAATGTATTAAATACTTAAGCACTATATTTTAATGATCATTACACTCTTCTGTTTTGATTTAAAACACAATTTTGCAATACAAGATTGATGCCAGCATATTCATAGCAGTATAAAATTTACAGCTGACCTTTAGAAGTGTTTTGAAGACATTTTTTAGGTGTGGCGTTTATAAGGCGTCTTGACTAACTGCTGTGTGGAAAGCGCTACTGAATTATCCTGCTAAAGGTTGTTGCACTATTGCTTTCCTTACCAGGAAAGAGTCGCTTTTGGCGGCATAAGAGTAAGTTATGTTAGTTAGATTAAGGAGAATATTTGTAAAGATGCGTTAAAAAGCAGCAACTTGATATCAGAGCCAGAAAAAAAAAAAATCAATTTGATGGATTTGACGCCTCTTACCACATTTATTCTCTGAAATATTATAAATATGTTTACTAGGAATTATTAAATTGTAGACATTTGATTTCTTTTGGGTAGCTGAGGAAATATAAAAATTTTTCTGAGGGCAAATGTATGATATGCAGATTTTGACCCAAAATCCCTCTCTCTTGGACTGAGTGCCCTGTTTCAAGGGCGTTACCATCACTGTGATCATTACCTCTCTCCACTCATACAAATCATCCACAATGGGGCACTAAACTGATTATGTTTTGGCAAAAAAAAAGAAGAAAAACTACAGGTTTTTTTAATTGCAAGACCTTTGTCCAGTGCCAGAGAGGACAGCGTGACAGTTGTGCCTAAATTTGTTTGTCTCAGAACTCACTCACTCAGCATTGTATACGCTGATACATAGATGAAGGGAAAAAAATGTTTTATGCATATACACGTGTGTTTGTGTATATATATATATATATATTTATAAAGTGACTGACATGGACACATGAATGTTGAGATGATTGAGCTGATCTGTTTTTTTTTTTGTGTGTGTGTGAGATTATTTGTATACAGTAGAACAAATTAATAAAAAAAATGAGTCTCAAAAGTCTCATCTGTGCAATCAATTAAAAACTGTCTGTGAGTTATTATATTACTCAGCCGATTTCAGCCAGACCAAACTCTGTCGCTGTGTCCTAACCAGGCGTGATTGGCGTGACGCATGACAATCAATCATAAAGGACCAATCAGAAGAAAAGTTGTCTCCACTTAACGCTCTCTCATACTGGCAGATGCCACGCGCTGAAGCTAAAAAAAACCGAAACAAACAATTAAAGATATCTCTTCTCTTCTATTATTTCTGTGATGTTGCGCTCCGCCCACACCTAGCACTTCTCAAGTTCAAGTTCAGTTAAAGTTTCCATTAAAACCAAGCCATTTGGTGAAGCATCACAGAAGTCATGAAAAAACAAGGTATGTGTTAGTTCTGCAGGGTATGTTTCCAGGCCGTGTTGTGGATTGCTATAATAAATTACTCTTTGTCATCTGGGGAGGTGCCAGCAGCACTTAAAACTGCTGTTGTCACTCCTGTTTAAAAAAAGCAAAACTCTAATATGAAAAATCTTTCAAATTATCACCCAATCTCAAATCTTTCATTCCTGGCTAAAATCTTGGAGGGTGTGGTTGCGGCCCAATTAAACAAACACTTAATTGAAAA